GCCGGGCCCGGCCCGCTGCCCGGCCTGCCTGGCACAGAGCGATGTGTGCGCGCAGGAAGGGCCCCGCCGGCGGGACTGCCATAACTGTCCTTTTTCTCCCTGCCTTAACCAAGGAGCTTGAGGAGCAGCAGAAGAGGTGGCGTGTGTCCTGCTCGCAGTGCTGAAGTAACACTGAGACACTTGAGCACAAATGGATGAAAGTGGATGGTGCCCTGCTATGCTGTAGGGCTGTACCACGATCAATGCTAGCTGGGCCACAGGAACTGCTCCGCAGGTGTGTTCATTGGCAGGGAGGTATTGCCAGATAAAGTAAGATGCAGATGAAAAACATTATAAAGCAGCAACTGGATGTGAAAAGATAGCCACATTCAGTAGTCACAAAGATATGCAGCACTTACAAAAAGGCCATGTAGAACAAAACCTGTTGGTATGCTCATTTAAATACATCTTGTTCGTAACAGGATGCTATTTTTGACATCTCTTTCTGCTGCTATAGGTTTATCAACTGGCTTAAAGCCCGTCAGGTACACTTCATACAACCTGTTGCAGCAGCAAAAGATCTGTACTTGCTAGAACAGAAACTCCAGTTTCATCTACGGTAAGTTTTGTAAAAATATTTAGTATGCATACAATAGTTCAGAGCCCCTGTTGGCATAGGTGTTTAGCCCAGTGACTTTCACACAATGATGAATGTACTCCCTGTTTGTACTTCCCAGCTGGGTTGTTCAACACTGAAGGTACGAACATACCTACTCTTGGTTTATTTTAAATTTCAGAAATATTTTTGGTAAGTTGGTGCTTTGCAAAATCCACTATTAGGACTATAGAAAATGGTTTATATAAACTGATGAATGTAATGTTATTCTTAACAGCTTTATTGTATATATTCACGAGCAATATTTATATTGCTCGTGAATATGTACAGTAAACTGCTAAAACTTGACATTGGATGTATAGAAAAGCAACTTTATTTAAGTGATCAATATTAAGTATCATAAGGTGGAAGACAACAGGATGGTTGGAGGACTGAGAAGGTAAGACAGTTAAACTTTATGCTGTATCTTACTGGTTAAAGCCTCCAAAATTATAGTAGTGCAATGGCAACTCATGTTCCCCTCCTGACATGAGGGAAAGCAGTACTGCGTTTGCACATAAAGCTTACACACCATAGGTGGCTTTCACTTAACTCATTTGTACTTAAAACTTTCTAATAGGTCACTAACGTAGGGGATGAAAAGCCATATTTAGCTCAATACAAGTTTTCCCACTCAATAAAGGCACACAACTGCTTGATGAGGATTAGTCAGACCTTATTTTCAGTTGTTTTGTTAACAATGCTGTGTTTGTTATTGGCACCAGTTTTTCCACTTTCCTAGGTAGCATCAAGAGGTAATGGGATTTGTCACAGCAACGCTAAACTGAGACTAAGCTTCAAGCCTTCATATGGAACTGCTTTTGAAGGAGGAAGCTGCAGTACTGAAAGCAGTCAGTGCTTGGCTGCACGAGACCATGCCTCTCACAGAAAGCAAATGAGGTCTTACTTCAAAAACTATGGAATGCAAATTCAATTAAATCCTTTCTTTGCAAGGCAACAATAAACCAGTGATTGACTTTTCTTAGAGCTGTTACTTGAATAATTGGAGAAAGGGAAAGCTAAGGTTCCTACTAAGGTATGTACAAGATGTCTTGCTCTTAAGATTTGTAGTCTGATTTACTATGAAGACCACAGAGGTCAACTTTTTTTAAAAAAGGCAGAAACTTTCTTTTAGCATACAGGGTTTTTCCTCCTCGTGGTAGAATCACCTTTTTAGATGTATGATGAACTGAAACTTAACATGCAGCTGTTTCATACAGAACAATTTTTTTTTCCACACCTGCAAATAAGTAGCCTCTGAAAACATGAAGTTGTCAGTATAAAGGAATGCAACAGCCAAGTAAGCCAATAATTCATAGCTATCACTAAAACAGTAAAAAAATAACAGCTTACAAACACAAAACTGATTTTAACTAAATTAAGCAGTAGTGCTGCAGGCATTCGGCATTCAGAGTGTTCGTAACTTATCTTCAGCTCTATACTGCTGAAGTAATTCGTGCTTCAGGTTGTTAAACTTGTGTACTTCAGTGATTTAAATAACATAGATTGAATATTTTGCTTTATATTGGGTCTGTATTCGGTTTGCCTGGCAAGGTTTTGGTAGCGGGGGAGCTATAGCAGTGGCTTGTGTGAGAAGCTGCTGAAGTTTCCCCAGTGTCCGACAGAGCCGCTGCTGGCCAAGGTCGAACCCATCAGCGACAGTGATAGTGCCTCTGTGATAGCATGTTTAAGAAGGGGAAAAAACCCTCCTCATCTGCAGCCAGGAGAGAGAGTATGTGAGAGAAACATTCTGCAGACACCAAGGTCAGTGAATGAGGAAGGGGAGGAGATGCTCCAGGCACTGGAGCAGAGATTCCCCTGTGGCCTGTGGTGAAGACCATGGTGAGACCGGCTGTCCCCCTGCGGCCCGTGGAGGTCCATGGTGGTGGAGCAGATACCCATCTGCAGCCCCTGGAGGACCCCATGGTGCAGCAGGTAGATGTACCTAAAGGAAGCTATGGCCCTCTGGGAAGCCAGTGCTAGAGTAGGCTCCTGGAAGGACCTGCAGAGAGGAGCCCACATTGCAGCAGGTTTTCTGGCAGAACCTGTGACCCTGTGGGGGACCCGCAGTGGAGCAGTTGGTTCCTGAAGGACTGCACCCTGTGGAGGGGACCCACGCTGGAGCAATTCATGAACTGTAGCTTGTGGGAAGGTCTCATGTTGGAGAAGTTCGTGGACTGTCTCCTGTGGGAGGGACCCCACGCTGGAGCAGGGGAAGAGTGTGAGGAGTCCTCCCTCTGAGGAGGAAGGGGCAGGAGGGACAACATGATGAACTGACTGCAACCCTCCTTCCCCATCCCCATGCACCACTGGGGAGGGAGGAGGTAGAGAAAATTGGGAGCGAAGTTGATCCTGGGAAGAAGGGAGAGGTGAATGGAAGGTGTTTTAAGATTTCATTTTTATTGCTCATTGCTCTACTCTGATTTGATTGGCAATAAATTTCCCTAAGTCGAGTCTGCTTTGCCCATGATGGTAATTGCCAAGTGATCTTCCTGTCCTTATCTTGACCCGTGAGCCTTTCATTACATTTCCTCTCACCTGGCCAGCTGAGGAGGGGGGAGTAATAGAGCAGCTTTGGTGGGCACCTGGCACCCAGCTAGGGTCAAGCCACTGCAGCATCTAAAATACTGAGATAAATAGGTAGCAACTTGTCCTTGTTTTTTTACTCAACAATGCTTGACAGTTGCCTGTGTGATCCAAAATGATGGTGAGACTACCAGGTCTCCTTTACTTGGACATGTATCAGAATTTGTAACTAACTGGACTAAACTGGGATTGAGTTTTTCTCAGTTCAGAAAAGCACTCCTATCCAGTATATGCACAAGACAGTATCAAGAAGCACACTGCTTAAATTGACAATGATTTATTGTGTTTAGGAACATTCAATAAATACCAAGCTTTTAGCTTCAGTTTGGCAATCCTTCCCCACCAAAAATCGGTTGGCTGTTTTTTTTCTCCCTGGCATAAACTCCATTGCCAGCAATGGATGTATCAGAACAAGAAGGTAATAAATAATACACAGACAGCAGTTCTTTAAACATACCTCCTCTTTAAAGGCATGATACACATTTATTAAACAAATTTCAAGTTCTTCACAGAAGAAAATTTTGCTACAAGCCGTCTCTGAACATTGTTTTCTTCACCAATGCTGCTAGTTTATTTCATGGAGTACAGTATTTATTTGAACAGTACTGAGAATAATTTAAAAAGTTGTCCCCCCCCTTAAGCTGAGACATATGACTAGTACTGAACTGTATGAATTTAAGAGTGGTGTGCCTCTTACTGAGCGTTTCATGGTAATCATGAATGAACGTAAAGAGAGGACATGGCAATATGATACTGTTGGTAGGTGTCCGGGGGATTTTTTTTGTTTGTTTGTTTCTGCTTGCTTTTAAACCGCTTGTCAAATGTTAAAGGTATCATATTTAAATTTAACAGGTGTGTGTTTGACTGTCCATGAAGAATTGTGTTAAAAACACAATTGAAGAAACTTCCTGCTCATGACGAGAGTCCCTTTCAAGTACTTAAAATTCAAATAGCCTTCTAAATTCCATTAATTTATTAAAAATGTGTTTTTATAAAAGCATGAAGAATACAGAAAACCAATTAACATAATAGTTAATCTTGTATAATTTTTTCCACAACTGTATTTTACATATCACCAAACTTCTGCTTTAGCAAAAGAAAAAAAAAGAATAAAAATAAATTCTCTCCCCACTATTTACACTCACAAATTACCCTGCTGTGGGCTGTGGGACCTGATACTTTACTCTGCAGTCCCTCTAACCCAAGGCATAATCTTGGGTGTATCTCTTTGTGATTTAGGTTCTTGGAAGTTTTCAGCAAACCTTTCTCTTGCTTTATCCCAGTTCTTCTTATTCTTGCTCTGGATGATCTGAACATCTTCAATTGAGGCTGGTCTACTGGTACCCAAACCTGCATGTGTCTTATGTAACTGAAGGTGGATCTGCCAAATACATTAAATATTGTTGTAACTGCAAGTTAGGTATTTTAAGTACTTAAATCATATTTTATAATACTAATTCTACCCTGTGTCCCTAAGTCCTTCTTTTTAAAGCTGTAACACCTAGACCATACATGGACATCTGAAGTACCATTAAAATGATGTATCAAATCACCAGCTCTAGAACTATGATCTAGAGTGCTGAATGGTGTCACCTGCCACTGACATTACTGTGAAGTACTCCTGACTGAATAGTGTATGATCCCTGTGATGGGTAGCTTGACAACAAAAGGTATGGCGTGGCTCTGAGCAGCACTACTGCCAGAAGACAACATGCCTCTGGTGACAAAAATGGGGTTAACATGGCTGCCACAGAGGCTCAGAACTCAGTGGCTACAGTGACTTCAACCAGCTTTTCCTCTCTCATGGCCTGTCTTCTTGCTTGATTTTTGTGCCACAACAGCCTCAGAGACATGGAAGAACTCCATTATAAACCCATCCTGAATTCACATCACTTAAAAGTATTTCAGTCTTCCTCCAGATTTTGTATTCAAATATGAGATTATTAATTCAATGGCTAGAAGCTGCCTGTCCTCCCTTGTTTAGTTTCCTAACACACAGAGAGACATTACTGGTATTTTCTACTGGACAAAATAATTGAAAAATTTCAAAATACTTCATTAATCACATAAAAAATTACTTGAGATTAGTCCTACTGAGATTATTCCTTCCTAACAAGGGTTTTGAAATTTTTCTAGTGAATAGTGCCTTAAACTTAACACATTTTTCACTGCAAATACATTTCTATTCCTCTTTGCTCCAAGTACAAATCAGGAAGACCTACCGGATCCTTCATGCCACCACCATCCTTGCCCAGGCCTTCCCCCTTCTTCCATCCCATCTTCTCTAACATTTTATGTCCTTTGTTGCTGTTGCTGATTTCGCTTTGAAGAAAGTTTAAGGTAACTGGTAAGCAAGAGTATGCTCTCTACTCAAATACTGAAGGACAAAAGTGTGCATGCATGTGCTGCTTTAGAAACCAGGGCTCAACTACTATGCTGTTCCTACCTCCATCAAGAGCTATCCAGAAGGCCCTAGTGCTACCTTTTGCAAACTCTTTCATGAATATCTTCAGTTACCAAAGCCATACGAAGCATCTGGTCAATATCGACTTTCTTAAAACTCCTTCTGAGCTACTTGCTTACTTCAGGAGTTAAAAGCTACAGCATGGGTGGGAATTGACTACTTAAGGAAAAGGCAGTATTGCTACCTCACCACCAAATCAACCTAATGCATATATTTCATTGTCTCACACTTCCTTTTACTAACTTCAAGAACCTGCAAGTTCATATTTCTTAAAAAAACCCACCCCAACTACAACTACAGAACAAAAGGAATAATTATAAAGAGGAAGATTAAGTGTCATTTAAGAGGTATGTAAATGTATGTCCTATGATAGGCTGGATATTGATAGTGAAAGAAACTAGGTGAAAAATTTGCATGTGTACTATTACTGGGACTGGATAGGAAAAGTAGAAATTGAGACACATGAAAAACAGACAACGTTGAAGGTGTGCAGCTGGGGAGTTCCTTGATTTTTTGAGTTGGTAAGGAGGTGATCTAAGCATCCTTACTGCCAAGTTGAATTCTGTATGGAAGCTAAAGAGTTAATAAAAAGAGCATGTGAACTGGGAAGCGAGAATAGCTTACTGTTTTCTAGCTCTCCTAACACATGATATACAGCTAATTCACATGATATACAGGTAATTCATAATCTAACAAACTGTATCCTAGTAACTAATTGATATGTACTTCATCATAATTTTAAAAGATTCACTAGAGAAGAACACAAAGGATTCACACCCCCACCCCCAAGCAAACTTACATATGAACAGAAGCTGGACTATCATCTCTCTGGAAGGTTCCTTCACTTCCAATGGTCTCTCTGCGTTTTCCTGCTCTATCTTTGTACTTTGGATTCTTCACTGCTTTGTTGTCTTCATACTCTGTGTTCTTTATAAGAAGATTAAATTCCATCAAGACAAAGAAAGCAGGCTTGAAATTCTTTGGTTTTGATAACTTCAATGCTTCCCTCCAAAAGGCAGGCAGCTTCAGCCTATTTCATTAATTCTAAATCTTATAACAAAAAACTGTAGTTCTCATTTAGTCGTTTCTAACCTTACAGCCGTATCTTGTAAGGTATGTTACTGCCATCATCACATGTAATACTGTAATGTGATACTGCCAAATCCATTAATTTCACAGATTCTCTTGAATCTTCTCTTGGTATAAAAAAATCAATCTCTCTATATTAAGCAGAAAACCATATGGTTGCCACTTGTTTTTTCTTTAAACATTTAGCCTGTTCCTCAGCAACTATTTCTTCAGAATAGATGACAGAACTAAGCATACATATAGATTCCATATCAATACTATTTTGGTAGCTGAAGAATGAGAGGAATGACAGCATTCTGTTTCCTATACAAATACTTAGTACAAGTGCTAGATGTAACATCATAGTTAAAATAATCTCTAAACCAGACATAACTTGAATACTTACTATATTGCCTGTACATTCATATTGGCACTCTTAGATGGCAAAGCAGACTTAAAATAAAAACTTAAAAAATTTCCCTCTTCCTTTCATCGTTTTTTTCAGTTGCTCATTATTTTTCCTTTCCAAATAAAAGACAGCACTGCAATTTAGTGCAAACAATTTGCAGAAATAAAAACAGAAATGTCTTAAGAAATCTTAACCTCAAAAGGATGAGGAATCTCGTACACATTGGAACGGATCTTCTTTTCCTCAACTTTTAACAGAGCTTTCATGCCCTCTTACCATCATCTCTCTCTGTGGAGGTTTGTAAGTAATTATTTAGTATACAAAAGGCAAGCTTGAGTTAAATTACTAGGCTCAAGTTTGAGGGCATTTGAAAACTTTCCTTATTCACTGAAGTCTATGGCTTAACATGGGAATCACAAAGTAGATGCAGACTCCAAACATTTAATCAACTTCTATTGTAAACTCACCTGTAAACCATATTTTACCCGTATTTGTTTCAATGCTTTTCTTCTGACTAACTCTCTCTCTTCTTTGCTAAGTGCTGGGCAAACTAAAAGAAAAAACACAGGATTGAATTTCTAATTAATAATATAACAATGTTTTGAAACATAACACAACTGTGAGAATTCTTGTTCTAACATTACACATAGACACACATGCTAAGAAGAAAATACATCATCATGTATTGTAGAACTGTTTCCAGTTGACAAGAAAATTGTAAGATAACAGAAGTAATTATTACATTTATAAAGTAAAGAACCATAATAAAAAAAACATATCCTGTGATAACATGACTAACCAGAAGATTCCTTTTTCCTATCCAGGCGAAGATGTGCTCTGACTTGTCCTGGTTCACATCCATCACAAGTATCACTGCCAGGATGTATATGAAAAGAAAGCACAGTTTCACCAATCTTCACTTCATCTCCATGCTCCAAGACGTAAGGATCGCATTTTGTTTTAGGCTACAGCAAAAGAAAGTTTTGGCAGCCAAGTTAATTAGTTACTAATGAAGGGCACAAACTCTCAAGAATACCACTCGTAAGTCAGTAATTCATTTTGGTCTCACAAATGCAGGCAAGTATTTAACTACAGTGGGTATCTCACTCTAGCAACTGCAATAGTGAATTTTTCCTAATATAAACCAAACGTCAAGTATTGTAAGTGGCCCTAAAATCAGAAGGGAATCAAGGAAGAGACCAACATATGAAAGAAGCCATTCAATGACGTTGTTAGTGATTTGCCATAACATAATTAAGACGTTCACATGACTACAGTTTTCTGCAACATACACAGCATTGTAACAAGTTACTCACCTGGAGAATCTGATTTCCGTTAACAACTGTTCCATTCTGACTGCCTTGATCCACAAGAACATAATTTTGCAAATCGTGGTCAAAATATACTTCTGCATGGAACTGATAAATAGAAGCTTAAGTGAAATGTTCTTATTAAGCAAATACTTCACAATTTTTATGCTATTTTAAAGTAAGATTTCAGAATATATTTTGAGGCTTTTTAAATGAGTGGCTCTGGTACTCTTAAGTTAATGGAGTATTCTACACGGTATGATTTCATCCATATGAAATGTAAATGAATGGGCCACAACAGCATGAGCTAAAGTATACTATTAATTATATAACTATTTTGACTATAAACTAATTCAGTACTGAAAAAGTATATACTTCCAATGTGGTAAGTATGTTTTACTTGAAGGACTGCAAGATTTGGTAATACAGCACTTTAACTGTTCTCAGAAACAAAAGCCTTTTTTCTTGTAAGGTGTACTATAGCACTCAATTTTTTCTTTCAATTATAAAAACCCAACTGATTTCATCCTACAGCTTCAGGTTACTTGGTCTTTCATGTCTGAAATAGCTCCCTATATGCCATGCTTTTACAAAAGTGTCACGTAATTCATCTTCACCTGCATCTTAATGCCCAGACTCAATGAGTAGCCATCATTTGCTGTTCCTTTTATATCCTTTCTGATATTGAGACTAGCAATTTAATTGTTTGTTTTGTTGTTGCAATTCCATATAGGTATTGCTCCCAAATACAGGTATTGCTCTATTGCCCACACAGAACAGAGAAAACACAACTGCTGGCGAAACTCAAATTGATACACTCTACCTCCAAAAATGGCCACTGAACAAACCAAAATATCAGCTTCTGCAGCCTAGTAAGACCCCCAGTAAAAACCAGAAGTCTAAAAAAGTGACTGTTTCAAACTTGATGAGCAAAGATCCCTTTTACTATAGTGGAGAAAAAACCCAAAGAGTCAATCTGGGAAGAAAGTTTTCATTTAAAACCAAATCTCTTCTTATCTTTGAGCAGTAGCAGTTGCTACATTCAGTAACAAAAAAAGAAATAAAAATAGTATTTTGTAGATTGGCTAGCATTTACAACAGGAATACTCCCATAATGGTGGAAACTGACTAGCTCATTCAATAGATAATTTAATTTCTACCTCTCTTTTATTGAATAGAATGAACCCAAACTTCTTCTAAATATGCTAAATCTGCAGGTGGTAGTGTTATTTGTTTAAAATCTCACTTCAGACTCAAGAAAATCAAATGCCAAAGTGGTCCACAGCTATTAACTATAAATAGTGAGGAAAACCTGGTAGTTAACTTTTTGTTTCTACAGGTACATCACTTATCTTCCTGTCTTTTACTCCTTACCTGCAAAGTGAAATAACTTCTTATATATGTCAGGTACCCATGAAGTACTAAAATGGTAACATTACAGAAAAATAAAAGCCTTTTGGCTTCTATATACACCCAATTTCAAATACATACCTGAAAAAGTCATTAATAGCAGGGAAAGATTTGCTTTGGAAATTGTTCAGTATGAAATATGGTAAATAGCCGATTAATCAGAACTATCATTTGGAACAGACACAGTAAAGCATATTTCAGATACGTGCATTTGCAGATGTTTTTATCAATTTTTTCGTTGTTTGGATGACATATCTTTGTCAATCTACATTTTCTTTTAATAAAGTGCTATATTTATGATCTGCATTAAAGTAGTTAGCAAAACAGAGCACATAATTTATCTTTAATCTTTCCTAACCAGAAGAAAAATTTTCCGTTACAATCTGTCACTGAAATAAACTGTTAAATTTTCCAGCTCCCTGTACATCACTTACATATTTACAGTTGCCTTGAAGAAAATCTACAATAAAACCTGTTGCTCTGAGCTTAACTGCAAGGACTGAATTGCTTTATGACAAAGGACGGAGGGCAGCCCTGCCAAGAAGGACTTGGGGGTGTGGGTGGATGAAAAGCTGGACATGAGCTGGCATCCTGGGCTGCATCATAAGCAGTGTGGCCAGCAGGTTGAAGGAGGTGGTTCTCCCCCTCTCCTCTGCTCTCGTGAGACCCCATCCACATTACCATGTTCAGCTCTGGGGCCCCCACCACAAGACAGACATGGACTTGCTCAGCAGGTCCAGAGGAGGGCCACAAAAATGATCAGGGGGCTGGAGCCTCCCCTGTGAGGACAGGCTGAGAGAGCTGGGGTTGTTCAGCCTGGAGAACAGAAGGCTCTGAGGAGACCTTACTGTGGCCTTCCAGTACCTGGGGGGGGGCCTACAGGAAAGGTGGGGAGGGACTGTTTACAAGGGCACATAGTGATAGGATGAGGGGTAACGGTTTTAAACTAGAAACGGGCAGATTTAGATTGGGTATTAGGATGAAGTTCTTTACCGTAAGGGTGGTAAAGCACTGGCACAGGTTGCCCAGAGAGGTGGCGGAGGCCCCTTCTGTTGAAACATTCAAGGAGAGGTTGGATGGGGCTCTGAGCAACCTGATCTAGCTAAGGGGGCAGGGTGTTTGGACTAGATGACCTCTAAAGATCCCTTCCAACCCAAATTATTCTATGGAAGTTCTAACTAGGCGATACCAATATTTTATATACCATTAGTATGTAAGACAGTAATGTTTTCCTCAAGTTCAATAACTAAGAAATTCAAGATTCAAAGTATAATTTTTTTACTGTGCATTAACAGTCCAATTGGAGTAAAACTCCAATTAAAAAAATATTTAGCTTTTCTAGACTTTGAAATCACACTGTGTTAAATTCCCATTCAGTAAAATACTGTATGTTTTCCGTTTTCTAACTTCAAATGTAGCTAAACCCGCATCTCATTCTAAAAGTTCTTTTAAAAAATTAACGTAAGATTTTGCAAATTTGAAGCTATAAAATCTAAAGCTTCATCCATATGCTGATCTATGTTTCAGCAGACAGAAACAAAACTTACCTTACTGACTCCAACTTCAGGAATCTGAAGTGTGTGTCCAGCATCTTTTTCTCTGGAAAGGCAAGTTGATATATAAATCACAACAAAGTAGAACTATGTCTAATAGGTGGCTTACAAAAGGTATATTTCAGTTGAATACCTTAATACCATGTTTCACTTCTGAGCTATTACGGAGCTTTACGGATGTAAATAACTGTGTTGCTACATACACCATCTAAAGAGTTGCTTCAGGTCCCTTCTTCCATCTATAAACTATGCACAGTAGGCAATGAATATATGATGAAACTGTACTGTTAAATTTTTTAGCTATAAACATGACATATTTATCTGAACTTTTATACTCATACAAGACCTGTAAATAATAGTCTGAACTCTGCATCCTTACGGCTCTTCAGTGCATCTTTGCATCAGTCTTCAATGATAAAGCTGAATTCTTGGTAGCGCTAGGCAGGTAATACAAGCAATGAAAGAGTAATCTGTATAGTTTTGAGGTTTTTTTTGTCAAAAACACTGCAGTAGGAGGAAGGGATTTGTGTATTAGTTTCTTATACTAGGGCATGAAGCAGCAATGCGGCTAGCACAGGACCTATGTGCAAACTGCAAACAGAGTTCTCATCTGTCAGTCTTCACATAAATGTACCTAGAAAACTCCAGCTGTAACAGCAAATCAAAACACATTTTCAGCTGCTTTTATCTAATGCTGATAACGGGCTGACGTTTTCAGTAAGCACAGATGAAAGCATTAATTCATCATTAAATTCATCATCCACAATGAACAAACCAGAAGAATGCATAAAGGCTAGCACAAAACCCAGCTTATTATTTAAAAACCATGAACAAATCCTACTGGAATTTCAATGTGTGAGGAAGTTCAGGATATTCTTCCTTGTGATCTTGAATTTCTGAAGTGTGTTGTTCCATTTCTGAAAAAGTTACCTCAGTGGCCCAGAAAAAAGTTTACTTACTTTGTAGAAAACAAGTTTTCAGAGAATGACTTGCAGCTACCATTAGGACTCAGACACAAGATCAAGTTAATCACTAACTTTCATGACTGCTGAGCTACATTAACTGCGTATGCTGTTATCACAGCAGGCATGACATTACGTGACATGACTTAAACTTCTTACTGTAGGCTAAGCTAACTCAAGAGTACCTTAAAACTGCTGCATGCTAGGAGGACAAGCATGAAGAGTACAGACAAGCAATCCTGAGTGGCTTCCACAGCTTTCAAAGTATGATACAGTTTCAGATACATATAACAAATCCCATTCAGTTTTACCTTCCAATTGTTGCAGGTTTCACAGCTGTGATAATATAAAGTGATCCAGTCTGTAGAACTGGTGACCTTATTACAATTACTCTGATACAAGGAGGCCAGATCTTTTCTTCATCTATAATTATTGAAAAAAAAAAAAAAGAAGAAATTGTTACTGCCAAAAAATAACAGTTTTACCCCTATAGTCCATAGCTTTCAAACCACTGATATACATTCAGCCATTATCTGTCTGAATCCTAGGCAACTTTCAGAAAGAGAGATGTATAAGCACATCTGAGAGAAAACTTTGATGAGACTACTGTTTCAAAGGCTTTCTGACTGCACACAAAGTATTAAAAATGTTTTACCAATTCTGGTTATTTACATGTGCACAACTGTTTAGTTACAGCAATAAAATATAAACACATTCACAGAATTTACTAGCATATTATAAATTTATGGACCATTAGTCATAACAGATTAGAATAGGTTTTGAGAAAAGCCAACACCTTTTTGTTCACTACATCACAAACCTAATGCATATAGAAATTTGTATTTGATAATTTCTATGCCAAATGTATTTTTTGTAGTTTTTACTCTTACTAGCTCTATGCACCAATAGAGATAAGAAAAAATAATAGATGAACCTACAGATGCACATGCTTCTTTGCCTCAGTATCTGTCAAGTAATTATATTCTAACAGCCGTATGAATTCTGTTCTTGGACATACATTTGCAAAAACAGTCTCCAACGATCTCAGCTACGAATAGAAGTGGTAAGACGGGAAGACACTAGCTCAAAAGGTACCAGGAGGAGAAAAACTGTCTCCAGTTTTTATTACTGCAGAATTGATTACTAAATAGTAAGAGAGGGAAATTTAATCTGAAAGCTTGATGGTAAGCAAGCACATTTTGAATGGCATTAATCACTTAGAATCTGAGTAGCTGAGTAAGTAATGAAAACAGAAGAAACAAACTGACTATTTTTAACTGTGAGGAGAGCGCAGGCTGCAGTACAGTCTTCTATAGGCTGCATTTCATCCTGTGATTTGGAATATCCTTGCCATATACATAGTTCCAACTGGTTGCATTAAGCTTTTCACAGGTTACTTTCTTTTTCCTCCAAGAAACCATTCAACTCTTGAGGAGGTCTTAATGACCTAGGAGAACACCTTCTTTGGTACAAAACAATATACAGGTTTCCTCTCTATACCTATTTCTTACATGTTGCCACTGGAATACACACAAAACAGTACACCACATCCATTCTTTTCACCACAGTGGACTTATCTTACATTGAATTATACATGACTGCTTATTCACAGTATCATAAATATTATACACTAATTGAAAAGAGTTAATACACAGAATTACTGTGAGTTCTGTACTGGAACCTTTATATAGCAATAGACTTTCTTTTCTCCTGTCAATATCCTAATCTAAACACATTTTATTGTACCACTCAGGTTTCTACACAAAATATTAAAACCCTAAACAGCTTTTACAAAATCACCACTACTTACTTCTGGCTACTGTGCAAGCAAACAAAAGGAAAAAAATACTGGTAACATACAGCACTTTTTAATTCAAAGTATCTCAAGACACATGCTCTTTTTTTTTTTAATTATTTAAACTGTTTTCTTGTAGTTTGTTCTTAATGGGCTCCTCGAAAAATACAATAATATCATACATAAAAGCCACAATAATTCACCTTCATTTTCTGAGTCTTCTGAATCAGCAGTTTCTTCACTTGTTACTTCATCCGCACTGCTGTAGGCTTCACGCTCAGAATCTGTAATTTCACCTTCTTCTGGCTCACTCTCTGTGTCTGCCGTTCTACTGTCATCCGTATATGCTGCAGTATCTGGTGTACTTTTGCGTGAATGTGAATTCAAACTGTCTGTAGAAATCGATTCTTTGGCTGTTAAACTGTTTCGTGGTTTTGTGTCTATTTTAGTCTTCTTTCTTATATTTGGGGACTCCTCCTCTTCAGTAGAACTTACTTGCTCAGTAGTGGAAAAGCAACTCAGACTGTTAGATGATTTCTGCTCTTCTGTGTCCAAATCCTGGAGGGGAGTTATAGAATGTTACATTCTTTACAGATTGAGTTATTTTAAAGTCTCCTGTCAGCCTGGAAGTAAATTCTTCACTAGGAAGAATTATTTTTATAACTATTAAAAAATTGTTAAGTTTCCCAAAGTTTTGCACATGCAGTCAACAGAACATTTCAGTAGAAACATTTTCATATCCTATTAGATATGATTGAGACCATCTTCTACTTGGAAAAATGTGACTGCACTCCTCTTCTAAACTTCACTTATTCCTTCCTCTTTACTCACAACAAAGCTCAAGATCCTTGTCCTCACTTTCAAACTTGTACAACAGCATCTTGAATATTTTCCAGTTTTGCTTTTATGACACTTCTGTCCCTCTCTTACTCAATTCTTGCAACTTGTTTAAAAGTTCTTTAATTGATCTTCATCATATCTTCCTCCTGTTTTTATCTTCTCATTTTTTTCCACAATGGTCCAGAATATCTGGAATGCCCACCCATGCTCGCTTGCTTGCCTAATGACCTGTTCTTCCTCCTTTCAAAATTGCAACATTAACAAATCCTTTCCTCGAGATACTTCAGGGAACTTATGTTTAATTTATGCTACGTGGAACAGTTCTACTGAGAATCCATTTTCTACGGCAATAAATTTCTCCATTGAATACCAGACAGATTAGATAATTCAGATTCTTCCATTGTCACTTGACTTAATCAGCAGAAAAAAAAAATCAACATTTTTTTTTAACCAAGAAATCTAAAGTTTCATACTAATTTTAACAGAGTACCTTGAAAATGTAATTCTCAATCAAGTAGCCCAGATGACCAGGGGGAACACAAATGGCTTCAAAAAGATAAATAAAAAACATCTCGGATTTTAAGTTATTTGCCATCTTGGATTCAAAATGAATGCATTCAGTTGCCCTGAACGGCACCAAATACTGCAACACAGCAGTTAAAAATAAAAAACATCCTTGTTTTTTTTCAGTAAGTTTTTGTACAGAGCATTTTACATTTCAAGATACATGAATTAATGTGAATATTAACATCAGGGAAATTAAAGCACTCTCACTTCTCAGAACTGTAAAATCTTGTCAGTGGCACAGCTGTAAAACAAACACAAGAATTCCTCTCAGCCCAGCAGTCAAGCTGGATAAGACTTTACAGTGTACTTTTAAAACACTTTCAATAAGACAGCAGATTCCCAGGAATAATCAGCAAATTTTAAAAGACTTAATGCTTTTTCTGAAGGACTATCAGTTTGTTTAGGGCTTCTCTACACTGCACTAGCCCTCCTCCTTGCATCCTCTAAGTATTGGAACTAGGAATGAACAGGATCGCATGGTCACTGCCTAATGTTGTTTCTTTTAAATAAGTGATTATAGAATCATAGAATCATTAGGTTGAGATAGATCTCTGAGATCATCAAGCCCAACCGTTGAACTAATACCCCCATGCCCACTAAACCATGTCC